AAGCTACTGTTTGAGTTTTGTTGTCATCGGCCACGACTCTGCACCATTCATCAGAACGGAACGTATAGCTGTGCTGTATAGCTATGAGCGCAGCGGTCGAGGAATGCTACGCCGCATCAGTACCAAAGCAAGAAGGTGCTATCTACTCCACGCCGCACGTATGCATCCACGAACGGCGGCATCGGCTGTCCCAGTACAATCAACAAAGAAATGGAACAGTCGACTTTTCCTGTGGTTTACGAATGATATAGATAGCATCAATAGTGAATCTCCCTGCCATGAAGCCGTACTGATATCAACCTATTGAAACGCACGACAACAGTCTTCTCTCAGTGACTTTTTAAATAACATTCAGGGGATGTTCGAAGACATATACCCCAATATGAGGAGCATTTCAGTGGATCTCCTTTTCCTTTATATATCGGCATAGTTGTGCTACTGTTCCATTCCACTGGTAATATCGATTTACTCCACATCTCCCGACAGATAAGTAAGAAGGCTCTGAAGCCTGCCCACCAGATGCTTCGAAGATATCATTTGTAAGTCCAGACGTGCCAGCCGCTTTACCCACTTTCATTGCTTTCAGCGTATCCGTAAGCTCTTCAGCATTGATGCCCTGAATTGGTCCTTACACCGGAAGTGCATCAAAGTCCACCTCAATAGGGTTTGTTTCATTCAATAATTGATTGAAGTAATCCTTCCAGTGATCCTTCACTTCATTCTGAAAGGTTATTATGGTGCCTTTATTAATCGTTATGCATATGGCACCAACTAAATCCTTTTTCAGTCTTTTGGTCTGATTTGCTATTCGGTAGAGTAACCGAATTTGTTCGCTTTTATTCCCAGTCAGCCATACCTTGCATTGATTTGCACGAGCTATCGCAACCTGACATTTCGCTTCTGTGTTCTTTGATCGGTATGTCTTTCGATCTTCATTAGTCTTCGTCTTCTGCCATTGTTTGAAAGCTGCTTTCCTACTGGCAACAGCATTTTCATTGTAAAGTTTAGTTTTGACGAGTTTAGTCGTTGTAGAAGTCTTGCTATTTGATCATCATCTTCATATGTAACAAATATATCGTCAACATATCGGCAGTATATATTAGATTTTAGTTCTGGTTTTTCTTTAAATAACATTTCTTCGATATATCCGACATAGAAGTTTGCGAAGAGTACTCCCAATGGAGAGCCCATTGCATTACTATTTGCTGATATAGTATGTTACCCGGGCCAACGAAAGGCGCTTCGGAGCAGAGCAGCGCAACTAATTCATCTTTTGGAATTGGTAGTGATGAATAACTGGAATTGTATATTCCATCTATTATTATGCTGATTGTGTCTTCTTCATGAACATTTGTAAAGAGTGACTTCACATTCAAAGATGCAATTTTGGTGTTAATGGATGGTTTTGTTGTAGACAATAAATCTATAAATTCTCTACTTGATTTTAAGTTATAGCTGTTAAGATGTAATTATTTTGTTCACAATTTTTGCAATAGGATAAGTGATCGCAAGTTTTTGCCTAATTATTATTGGTCGTAGAGGTTGTTAGCCTTATGCGCCTTGACCTTACCGTATGCATATTCTGGTTCATATTCACCCGTGAGTAAAGGTATTTTCCCTTCTGTTTTGTCATTGATTCTTGTGATGATCTCATTTAACTTTGTCTTACGTTTAGCAGTTGGATCACTGCTAATCTTAATAAATTTGTCAGTGTCACCGAGAATGCCATTAAGTTTATCATTATAATCATCTTTATCCATAATGACATACATTGGGGTTTTGTCAGCTTTTCGGATGACAATGTAAATTTTATTTTTTAAAGTTGCTGTAGCATTGATCAATTCCTTCGTGAGAATCTTGAGACCTTTGTGAGAATTTGTAAATTCCCTACTTGATTTTAAATTATAGGGGTGTAAGATGTAATTATTTTGTTGAACATTTTTGCAATAGGATAAGTGATCGCAAATCTTTGCCTAATTATTGGTCGTAGAGGTTGTTAGCCTTATGCGCCTTGACTGTACCGTATGCATATTCTGGTTCATATCACCCGTGAGTATAGGTATTTTCCCTTCTGTTTTGTCATTGGTTCTTGTGATGATATCATTCAACTTTGTCTTACGTTTAGCAGTTGGATCACTGCTAATCTTAATAAATTTGTCAGTGTCACTAAAAATGCCATTAAGTTTATCATAATAATCATCTTTATCCATAATGACATACATTGGGGTTTTGTCAGCTTTTCGGATGACAATGTAATTGTTATTTTTTAAAGTTGCTGCAGCATTGATCAATTCCTTCGTGAGAATCTTGCTTTTAAGATTACCTCTTAACTTTTTGCTTTCTGCTTTTAAGTCGTTAACAATGTTTGTGTTGAGTGTTATAAGTTTTTAACAGTTTTTCTAATTTGATTAAGTCCTCCATTAATTTTTCAATTTCAATTTCTTTTTGAAAATTCTTAAGTTTCCTCATGTAATGACAATTGAGCCCAAGGTTTAGGAATATTCGTTCAACGATTGTCGGTTTATATTTACTTAAATTAATAAACAAGGTAATAAAAAATTAATTCATAGGTTTTACATTTTTTAATTGCTGTGCTTACGTTGGGTTTTTATTTTGTTAATTCGATCAAATTAATGTTTACAATGAAAAAATCAACTGACAATAAACTACCATTCCTAGACGTACTAATACAAAATGTCCAAAATGAATTTAAAACCTCAGTCTACACTAAAGCAACAAAGGTTGATGCCTCAATGGCAATAGTGAATGTTGTCAAAGCAGGAGATTCGAACTCACTAAACTAATCATTAGTAACGGATATAAAATTCCATGATCCAGAAGATAATAGAACGCAAAGAACTAAAAATCAGCAACAACAACAATCCAACCAACAATAGTAACAAAAATAACGTGGTAATATATTTTAAGAATCACATGTGAACCGCTTTTAAACAGGATGAAAAAATTATAAAAAGAGTCATAAAAAATAACGTCCAAGCAATCAACAAAAATGAAAGTATTAAACTACGAATACAATACTCCAACCAAAGAACGTCATCTCTTGTGATGAAAAACAACTGCACAAGTAAACCAGAATCGATATTTGTCCAAATGTAATATTGGTGAATGTGGACATATATATGATCATTCAGCAGCATTTGATACCATTAATCATCAGATGCTTATTGATAGATCTGAGGCAGAATATTACCGAATTGTTAGCATTAACAAATCTTAAGTTTGTTATTTCAATTTTTTTATTAAAATTTTTTGAAAGTTATTCAATATATTGAAAAAAGAATTATTGCCTAAATTCACCTTGCAGATAAGCTTATTTCAATTTTTTATTTTTTTTATATTTATAATTTAATATGACTTGCATCAGGTACGTATGTTTAAGTAGGGAAATTTTGCATCAAGTACTTCGGTAAGCATAAGGGTTAGGCACAGTCGGTCAGAACGAGTAATAATAATGTCATTTTATATAGAGCCATGGCAAGCGACTGAGGCGCATTATCATTATTACAACAAACACACAGTGCATAAATGCACGTGAATCAACGCATCACACACTTTTGCATGTGATAGGCGGGGATCTTTTAGCATTCGAACCCGGACACTGCATCAACAATGCCAGGCACCTTAGCCATTACACTATCGTACTCATGCATACTCACGTACTCGATGCAAGTTACCACATCAATTAATTTTAATTTATTTATCCAACAAGTAACACTTTACCGACAAGAAGTTTTTTGTGAATTAACTAAAAAACACTTTATCTACTAATACACTAATAATAAACTGAGCAAACAGCGATATTAAAATCAGTTGAGTAGTAATTTTAAAAAAATATTTAGAATCTATCTATTAATCTAGGCTAAGATGTAAAAGTACATACTGCCAGATATTAAATTATTTTGACCAACAACTGTGTAATAACTCTGATTCGTCTTGTTGATAAGGGATTCCAAAGCAATTTTTTCCATCTGCATCGTAAAATTGTTCACATATCCAATCAAAGAGATCGCCAATTCCTTTCAAAAATAAAAAATTTGCAAATTTTAAAATCATATAAAATTTAAAACTCACAAATAATAATTTTATAATTTTCAGTTGAAGACCAATATAACACATCCTCAGTAAACATTTTGGTGCGCTGTAGTTATTACGAAAAGAAAAAATGAGTAATATTTTAAACTTATTAAACTTTCTATAATTATAACTTCGATATTATAAAAATAGTTTGTATTTTTACCAACAAATGAATTGCAATTGCAAGTTTGAAAGTTTCAGGGAAAGATCAGTTTATTCAAAAAAAAAAAAGTTATATTTATATTGTTATATTTATTTTTATTTATATTGAATTATTATATTTATATTGTTATATGAATCCAATTTGTAGAATCAAATTAGATTCAATTCATTGTTATTTCACAACAGGACAAGAGAAATTATCAAATATACACCAAACATCAACAATTTTCCTATACATTTAAACGAAAATGAGCAAGTTTTCAAGGCATCTGTGATCTACCATTGTTTAATTTATTTTATTTATTTATTATTATTCAGTACAAAAAAAATGTTATATGTATGTTATAAATTTAATTTGTAGCATTAAATTAGATTTAACTTATCGTTATTTGACGGCACTAATAGAGAAATTATCAAATCCTACTGTCCAACATCCCCGATTTTCTGATAAATTAAGGAAACATGAATGATAAAGTTTTTTTTAGGCATCAGTGATATACCACAGTCTTTATCGATCAAGTATATAAACGACTAAAAGGCCAGAATTTATGTATCTTTTAGAATTTGAGAATACAACAAAATAAAAATAATTATTTAATTATTTATCTATTTTTATTATATATATATATATATATATATATATATATATATATTAGTTGAGCAAAAGGCTAGGCCAAGCGCTTATAACTGGTTGTTGTCAGGATGGGTGTCAGGATGTAAAAACTTTTCTCCAAATTATTCCTATGCCCTCACAAAGAAAAACAACAGCCCATTGTCCCCAGCAGGGCTTAAGTGGTCAAGGGGTGCCAAGAATCCCTGAGAAGTATGCAATAGTGGAGGGATGTTGCAGAAAAATTCAGAATGGCCCCTCTATGGTACTTAGACTTGGAACGCTCAATGTTGGATTACTGACTAGCCGCAGCATGGAAATCGCAAAAATGCTCGAGCGTAGAAGGATTGACATCTGCTGCCTTCAGGAGACCCGATGGAAATCGAATGGTGTTAGTCTTGTCAACTAAGACAAAGAAAAATACGCTATTATGGAATTGTCAAAAGACGGCCAAAAATGGTGTTGGAATTATTGTCAGAGAACCGCTAGCCCAAGAAGTACTGGATATTAAAAGGATTAATTCACGTCTCATGTGGATCAAGCTTTGCCTAAAAAAGCAAACAATGATTATTTTTTCTGCATACGCACCAGAGACTGGCGAATCAGAAGAGATGAAAGAAAAATGACTTCTGGGCTGCGTTCTCTGACATCATCTCAACAATACCAAAATCTGAAACAATCCTGATTGGAGGCGATCTCAATGGCCACGTTGGAAAAAAAACAGATGGTTTTGACAACGTACATGGCGGTTTTAGCTATGGAGAACGGAAAGAAGATGGCAACCGCATCCTTGAGTTTGCTGAAAGTCACGGGTTTTGTTTACTGAACACAAATTTTAGAAAGAGGTTGGAACATCTCATAACATACAAAAGTGGACCATTGAAATTTTGATAAACGCTGCAACTACAATTTGTGGAAAAACTGGTACAAAACGTCAGCATGAACGGGACACTTGGTGGTGGAATGATAGTGTATAAAATGCAATAGCTGAAAAAAAAGTTGCATACAAGCAATGGCAAAAATCAAATTCTGTTGATGACCATGAAATTTTCCGTGAGAAGAACAACTATGCAAGACGTCAAGTTGATCAGTGCAGAGAGTGGCTCTATAAAAGCAAAGGTGAACAAATGAAATCTCTGTATCGTATAACAAAACAAGCAAAGCGTACAAAAAAAGATATAGTTGGAGCCTCATGTATCAAAAATGACAAAAATGAGATGGTTCTTGAACAAGATGAGATCAAGCTACAGTGGAGAGAATACTATCAACCGTCTGTTAAACGAAACAAATCCCATCAATTTAACTTTGACGCTCCACCCATCGAAGGTCCGATTCCGGACATCACTGTAGAGGAGCTTACAGAAGCTCTGAAAGCTATGAAGGATGGAAAGGCAGCAGGGCCCTCTGGACTCAAAAATGACATTATCAAAGCATCTGGTACTGCAGGTATCTAAACGCAACCACAACTTTGCCGTGAAGTGAGGAAAAATTGCTCATTGCCAACTGAATGGAACTATAGCATGACAGTTCCGCTATACAAAGGCAAAGGTGATCCGATCCATTGAACTGTTCATCATATCGGGGTATACGTCTGTTAGAACACTCCCTGTAAATTGTCGAGAAACAATTTAATCAAGTGTCAGCAGTGTAACCAGTGGTGTAAAGGTCCAATTTTGTTTGTCCTGCTTGCATCAATTCACAAAAACGAACTCAAAATAGCAATGTTTTTGAAGCCATTAAGGTGGAGAAAGTCACATCGTTTCAATATATAGGAGATGTTCTGGATTGTACTGGAACAGCTGAAGCTACCGTTCGAGCGCGCATACGTGCAGCCTGGAATAAATGGCATCTCCTTGTCTTTACATTGATGCGGCGAGACATTCCACTACCACTACGATCAAGACTTTATAAATCTGTGATTCGTCCGGTCTTGTTATATGGTGCAGAAACATGGCCAATGACAACCAAACTGGAACAACAACTTCAACGAACCGATATGAAAATGCTACGATGGATGTAACGAATTAGTCTGAAGGACCACATCAAATATTCCGAAATATATATATATTGTCATATAACCTTAACAATCGTCACTGTGTTATAAGTGGTGTAACTTCAATGTTCCCAATTCTGACACCAATGTTGTGACTTGCTATTTCGTTAAGTTATCGACATATGTTCAATATTTTTTATAGATAAACACAACTGCCTCAAACGCAAACTTGTTGAAATGTTTATTCTAATGCCAACGCTAAATTAAACTAATCCAAGAAACACGTTCGATGATTCATCTCTTATCTACATACATAGCAACAAAACCTCGTTACCAGCTTCGCTATTAACCTTGCTTATAAACAAGATTTTTACAATCCAAAGTTAGCAATTTTAGCAAAGATAACAATTAATCAAAAAAATAACAATTAATTGTAATTCGTCTATTTTAAATAATAAATATATAATTGAACTTGATAAAAAAAACACCTTTCTGACAATATGGCTGGCATCGTAAAGTGTAGATAACAGATGACTAGCGATTAATTGGTCAAGTTTAATCACTTGATCTACTCTTTCTGTCTGATTGGCGATAAAGGTACCTAGGCTGTAAACTGCTGCTGCTCTCACCTAAAATCAATAAATATAATAAATTATGTGAACATTTACAAAGTAGTTTTAAACTAGATTAGACTGCCGTAAAAGATTTTTGTTTTCAAGCTTTTAAAAATTTTAACAACTTTTAAAAAGCTTTGTTTTAAAATGAGTAAATTTCCATAGTTTTTACGATTAACATATAAATACTACTTTATCATAATAGTATAGATATAGTTAGATTTAATTTCAAATAAATAAAAAAAAATTTAAGCAGGTACTTTAGGATAATATTGGATTTATTTTTGAAAAAAAATATAAAATATAAACAGGTAGTATTATTGAAACGAATTTTTTTAGAGGATGAAAATGGGTGTAGGGGTAATTTGTGGAAAATGCAAAGATTAGTCCCAGGTAAAAATTGCAGTTAACAGAAATGATGAAATGATGATGGTCGCTTGAAAATTTTTTAAATTTTTATCCGATTGAAATTTTTTACTAGGACTTCGGGTAAGAATTTCCGATTCCAACTTCCGACTTCGACTCACAGAAACTTGTTGCTCTACAACTTTACATAAACTACAATATTTCAAAAAACATCTGAAATCTCAAGTTTTCCAATATAAAATTATTTTATAAAAATTTTTCAAAATAAATAAATAATAATATATTCATTCTTCATCTAATATATACTTGAAATTTAAATCTATTTAAAATCATATATAAATAGTATTTTAACTTATCTAAATGACCAAAATTTTATAAATAAATATATATATATATATATATATATATATATATATATATATATATATATATATATATATATATATATATGTAATTAACATTTATTCCCATTTTTCAAATAACATTTATTTTTGTTTGACTCAAACTACTAATTTGTAATTATCAAATTTATTTTCTACATTAAAATAATTTTAATTTACCAATATATATATATATATTTAAATAACTTCAACACTTAGTTTCTAACAAACTTATATTGGATGCAATAAATTATATTAATATTTAAAATATATACAGATGATGGCAATTTCGTCAAAATATATCTTTTGTTTCAACAAAGTTAATTATTTTTATTTTGATATAACATTTTTAATTTTTATATAAAAACACTTGTTATTTCTAATAACATAATAATAATAATAACATAAAAATAACAAATGAAACATTTTGATTTAATAATTTTAATAAATTTAAAACTATTAATTGAATAAAAGAGAAATAAAAATTAATAATTCTGCAGCGATTAAATTTAATATATAATATATACATATTATATATCAATCAATCAATCTTCGTTTAGCGTCCAGAGACCCAGTTTCCCGAGGTAGGACGTTGTTTTCTTTGCAATCAACTTTTTCGACAAATTAGACGATCAGTTGTATCCATTTCATTTAAATTTAGAGTTTTCATGTCTTGCTCGATTGTTTGCGACCAGGACTTTTTTGGACGGCCTTTGGGACGTGTGCCAGGTACTTCAACATCTGCAAGAGAAGTTATGGCACTGTTTCCACTTCGTTTGACATGACCAAACCACCGCAGATGGTGTTGCTGGCATTCGTCCTTTATATCATCTAAACCAGCACGACAGAGGATTTCGGTAGATTTTATGTGGTCCTTCAGACTAATTCGTTGCATCCACCGGAGCATTTATATGCATGTTTATAAAATAAATTATTTTGATGTAAATTATGAATATAGTTTTTAAAAATGTTATTTTAAGTTGTAATTTTTTTAAGTTTTTGACAAGAACTAGAAATTAACGGTTAAAAATATTTATGAAACGCTAAGAATTTGTTCAAAAAGTGACAATGGCTTATTAATTTATTATTAGTTTTATTCAAATTATTGTTCCCGTTTTAAGTTATAGGAACTGCTGGCAGTTGTTTTAAACTTATGCGCATCTTGGAACAGTGGTTACGATCAGAGGTGGACTTGGGTCCATTTTTACTGACCCAACCAAACTTATCACTCACTCAACCAATCCCAACCCGCCTGAAAATGCAAAATCTCAACCCAACCCATTTTATCCAACTGTCAAACTTTTATTAATTATATTTAAAACGCAGAACTAAAAAATAGAAGCTTTTATTTGAAATAAAATTAACTGGTAAAATAATCACGCTGCAAGTGTCATAAAATAACATGAAAGTTAATTAAAATTCAAATGTTACTAATATTTCACTTAGTTTTTTTTCATTGATTCATAATCACTGTTCTACAATGAATGAAGGCTAGACTTTATCAATGTTTTTTATGGAAGCACGACAACCCCATCTAATTAATTCCAGTTCCTCAACTTTTCATGCATACAGACTTGATCGAGCATCTGTGACTGTGCGACCAACTGAACTGAAATCTCTTTCAAATTGTACTGAACTGGCAGACACACTCGTCTAGCAACCTTTGAGAGAAATATAAAATCTTTGCAATTGTATTGCCAGTAGGGGTAGGCTAGCAAAGAGGTGTGGTTGGCAGGGAAATTCACGGCTTTGTATCTAGCCAATTCTTCATAACTTGAGGGCTCAGCAGTTGACACTTCAGTGGTTGATGAGCTACAGCCATCCCGCAGGTAAGCAAAAGGATTAAAGCGTGCTTTCTTGGCTGGCTGAGTGTAATCATCTTCAACACTGATGTGCCGATGTACTTAAATGACATAAAAAAAATGTATAAATGTTAAGAAACTTGGCTTAATGTAAGATTTATCAGATTTTTTACTTTCACAAACATAGCAAATTAAAATGACACAAGCCTCTCAAATGACTCTGAATTTGAAGGATGAAATTGACTCAGTGGATTCAATCAACAATTTTAAAATCAAGCTAGGACAGCTAGGATACTAGAGCATTTATTTTGTAGTGGTTCTTAACACATATGCTAGTCTACTGAACAACTTTAAACTTTGTTATATTATATATTATTTCTTCTGAATCTGCCATACTTGTAAATAAAAATAATTTTCATGATCTGAAAGAAGTTAACTTTTACACCCAACACAAAAAGAAAGAGGAACCGATAGACCAAAGACACAACAATATAACTGCGAAACAAAATACACCAAATATAAACTAGGTAAAATGTTTGTTTAAAAATAAAAAAATTGCAAAAATAATTTAATTATAATAATAAAAAATGAAAATGTTAATTCAACCCAACCCACGCAACTTTAAAAAATTTGAACTCAACTCAACCCAACCCATGGATTAACCCAACCCTAGTCCACCTCTGGTTACGATGCTATGCTGCGCTATTTTAAATTTTCATTATAACAAAGAAATGCTTAATTACGCAAAAAATAATTTTTCAAAATTACTAAATTCACACTGTTGCTAATTATTAAACATTTTCAATTTTTAGTAAAAACCTCAGGGACAGGATCAGAAAGGAGAGAGAAAACTTTTTCGTGAGCACTATCCCTTACTGCTCTCCAACGAGCTGCATCATAATTGTTCCAAACCTTTTGAAAAGTAAAACCGTAAATTTAATATACGTATAATTATTATTACTCACATTAAACAATAAATTTATTAATTTTTGAGCTGTGTGTGTATAGATAACTATAATTAAAACGGATCAATTTCTTTATCATTCACATTTCCTTTCGGATGAAAACTTCTCAGTACTTAAAATAAATGATAAACTCGTTTTCAACGTACATAACATAAAAACTAGACCATTTTGAAACTCAGGACTTAATTTGAACTGAGCAATCAATCAAAAAGGTTGTTTACGTTTAGCGTGATGGCGGCACGTTTTCTCGGTGGTTTTGTAATTTGGGTGGTTTCTTGTTTTTTGCTTCTGAACAAGCGAGTTCTCTTCTTTTTTACTATGACTATTTTTTTCTATATCTTTCTATATCTTTTTCTTTAACTTGTAAATATTATTATGTCTTATTCTAGAGACTTTCTCTTAAGCCTCACTAACACTCCTTTGTCTCCGACGAGAGTAGTTCGGCGGCGAATTTTTTACTTTAATCTTAGGGCTAATAATAACAATAAAAAAAATAAATCTAACTCTAACAAAAATATAAATATAGTTAGTAACAATAATTATATTAATAATAATAATACTAATAGCAAGTATAATAAAGAATACTTTATTAAATCCCACTCTAATGTAATTAATACTAAAGATAAGAAATAATATTCTAATTCTATTAGTTTAAATTAATATAACTAAATTTAAAAGTACCGTATCCAAACTTCCTCTACATTTTATAATCTTCTAATCTTTTTTTTTTATAATAAGAGATTAAGATAATAATAATAATTATTATATATTATATAATAATCTCTTCCTCCTTACCTGATTTTTTTACTCTTACTGAAACTTGGCATGAGGACTCTAACTCTCCCTCTCTTACCTCTCTTATTCTTGCTACTCCTGATGGTTACAGCTTCCTTGAACTCTCTAGACCTCCAAAAAATCTTCTATCATCTTCTCATTCTTCTTATCTGTCTATTTTATAAATCTCTATTTACTGCTTCCATTAATACTTCCTTTAATTTTTCTTCTTTTGAATGTCTTGCTGTATAATCTTAAGTCTTCTTCTCTATCTTTTTATATTGCTGTAATCTATCGCCCTCCTTCTTCTCTCACTTTATTTTTAGATGAATTCTACTCACTCGCTGAATCTCTCCACTCTTTTTCTATTCCTTTCTACATCTCTGGTGATTTCAACTTGCACTTCAATAATTTATCATGTTCTTACACTCGAAGATTAAATGATATTTTGTCTCTTTTTAACTTAACTCAATATTGTTCTTTTCCTACCCATACTTCTGGTAACACTATTGATTTTATTATAGCTTCATCTTTTTCTAAGCCTATTAATATCTCTGCTAGCTCTGTTCCTTATTCTGATCACCTTCTTATTGAATCTGTTTTTTCATTAGATTTTCTTCCTTCAAATTCATCTATGTCTATTTCTAAAAGATGCTGGTCTTCTATTAATAAAGATATTTTTCTTCAATCTCTTACTGAAACTATTTTTGATACTACCTTATTTTCTGATGTTGATGATTTTGTCTATGCTTTTAATATCTACATTACTTCTATTCTTGATAAGCTTATTCCTCTTAAATCTTTTACTTATAGGCTCTATTCTCGTAAAGCTCCTTGGCTCAATTATGCTTGTGTATTAGCCAAGAAAAGTGTTAGAAGACTGGAGAAAGCCTATAGGTTAAATCCATCTAACTCTCTTTATTTTATCTATGAATCTGAATTGATTAATTATAAATATCTACTATTCTCTAAACACTCTACTTTTCTTAGAAATTCTATAACATCTGCTTCAACATCTAAAAATAGGTGGTCTGTTCTATCTAAACTTCTACATAAAAAATCCTCTCACTCATCTTTTTCTGCTCAACAGTTTCATGACTTTTTTGTAAATAAAATTACTTCTTTAAGAACATCTAATTCTAATTTTTCTACTCATAACTTCACTAAACTTACTACTGAATCTTTTTCTGTATTTACTCCAATAAATCTTTTAGAACTAACTAAAATTATTAATTCTATGTCGTCTACAACCTGTTCTCCAGATCTACTTCCTTCTAATTTACGTAAAAATTTTCTTCAATATTTTATCCAATCATTCTCAAATTAGTTAATTTATCTCTTTCCACCTCCAAATTTCCTACTTCTTATAAGAATTCTATTGTTATTCCTATTCTTAAAAACTCATCCTTAGATCCTACCTCTTTATCTAATTATAGACCTGTAACTAATATTACTTTCATCTCTAAAATAATAGAAAAAGTAGTTTTTAATCAACTGTCATCCTATTTAAACTTTAACTCCTTGCTACCTGTATCTTAATCTGGTTTCAGACCTGCTCACAGTACTGAAACTTCTTTACTCAAAATACACAATGATATCCTTCTCTCTAGTGACAATAGTAATCTTACTCTTCTTCTTGCTCTTGACTTTTTCTCGGCTTTTGATACTGTTGACCATACTATTCTCTTGAGACTGCTGCATCATTCTTTTAATATTACTGATTCTTGTCTATCTTGGTTTTCTTCTTATCTCTGTAATCGTTTTTCTTCTGTTGTTCTCAATAATTCTACTTCTAACTCCTCTACTCTTACTTTCGGGGTACCTCAGGGTTCTATCCTTAGCCCTCTTCTATTTATACTCTATACTTCTGAACTACCTCGTATTATTAATAACTTTTCTTTCTCTAGTCAACTATATGCTGATGATTCTTACATTTATACTC